GGCCTCGGGGCAGGTGGGGCTCGCTGTGCACCGGGGCAAGGCCGGGCCAGGCATCGCCGTCCCGCGACCTCGAGGAGGTGGCTTGGGGGACCCGCGGCGTTTTTGGCCTAGGCACGGCCTTCTCGAGGGGAAGCAGCGCCGTAGGGAGCACTTGGTAAAGGGCCCTTGCAGGGGGGAGGCCTAGGCCGTTACAAGGGCTCTCCTTTCCCCTTATAAACATAGCCCTCGCTCAGGTTTCATCGAGCTGGCTTAAATAAACTGGCCTGGTTTTTTAATCCTGTTAATTCCCCTGAGTCTTCCTCTGAGCTTTCCCCCATGTCCCTTTTTTTTTCCTACTCCAGAATACGATACAGCAAATGGGAACATGTTCCAGCAGAAAATCCGGGGGCACAGGCCCCCCTTCCCACTGGCTGTAGCAGCCCGTACCCGGCCACGGTCTCATGCCTGGCATCGCCCCTTGACTCCCACGCTGCCCTCCTGCTGCGCAGGCTGCTCGGCCGAAACTTCTTGGCCCAAAGCGTTGCCTGTTGGCTCAGGTGGGATTTTCGCAGCCCACGCGCCTGCAGCTTCGAAGGTCACAAGGAAACGAGGACTGTGATAAGCCCCCAGCCCCTGTGAGTGCTGTGCATGGTGGCACTTGCCTAACGATGCCGGATGGGAGATTCTGACCTGATCCATGGAAACCGAGGGGCCAAATCCACGGACGAAAACTTGTGCCTGCCACCCAGCTAGCACTGACAACTCTCCAAATTGCGGAGCCTTGGTGCTGCGCTTTACGGGCTGCTGGAGAACAGCTGGGAAGCGGTGCTGGCGGGACGGGAGGCTCCTAGGAGTCTGCTCACTTGACCTCAGTCCCCGGATTCCTGTAGTTTCTTGTAAATGTGCCGCAGCATGCTGAAAATTATAGACCTGAGTGATTTAACATTGCACCACATGATAAATGCTTAGAATGCTGAGCAGCTAATTCAAACAAGCGTAAAGTTGTGGATGCAATGATTAACAAGGAAAGTATCTTAGGCTGACATAGCAGAGTTGCACGGATGAATTTCAATTTGATATAGGTAAGCTGCTGCAAATAAAGCGAGCAAACTAATCTGTGGTGACATTCCAGCGTAGACAAGGCCTGGTGGCTTTGATGGTAACGTATCCTTGGGTGGGAAAGGACAGGTTTGAATAAGGTGTGCTTGATAAAAATTGAGTATTCATGTGTTAAAACACACCACTTTTTGGTAAACTTCTGAAAAAATTATTTAATATCAAGTAAAAAAAGAACTAATTAGCAACATAATGGACATACCGTTAATCATCATAAGCTGGAGTGAGTGTACATCCACTGTGAGATGCTTTTAGTCCCAGCATGATTGCCCTGCTGCTTAGGTAGGTAGGTACTCAGAGAATTTTCGCAAGAGAGATGTAAAATTCTTGGGTTTTGAGCTTTAAAGAGAACCACTGGAGCCTGAAATATGTTGAGTGAGTTTATCGTTCAGCCAGCGAACTGCACAGGAATGCAGTCAATCCCTGTTATTTATCTTTCTTAGCTTTATATTGATTTTTATTGAAAAAAATGTGAATAGACAATACAAAGAGCAGAAAGGGTAAATGCATGAAAGAGAAATCAAAAATTTTACACTTGACATGTGAAACTCTTTTAAATGAATCTGGGATAAAGCAGGAACCCTTTCAAAGGCATGACTTCCACTGCTTCAAAAAAGTGTACGTAACTGGAGAGTGACCTGTTAGAGAACAAGATCTGCTGGGATGAATATATTTTCTCTCCACCAAAAATAGCTTGTAAAGGAACTTATTTTTTTGAATAAGCTGCTAAAAGCAATATGTTTTCATGTAAGGAGGTTAAACTTATTTGTTTAGCAGATTTCTGCTGAAGTTGGATGCCTAGTCAGTGAATGAATACTTCAAAAATTATTTGTGATCTAGTAGCGCCTGAGGTTCAGTTGAAATTTATGGGATGATGTTACCAACTCTTCAGGGGCATGGAAAATATTTAATTCTGTAGTGCTGAGAGAGATAGAGAGACCGCAGAGAGCGAGGAGAAGGGAGCTGGAGGGGTAACAATCTGCTGCAGCTGAGGGGAGCTGAGAAATATAATGTGACTGGAGCAGGCAACAGATGTTTAAAAGGTCCAGGGTACCTCCACCATAGTCGTGTAGCATGGAGGGTGCTTTTGCAGTAGGGCCAGAGCCAGGATGAAAGAGATAAAAAACTTCCTGGAATGCCTGGCATGCCTCTCCAGAGGCACTGGGGTGTAAGGATCGAACAGGCAGAGATGGGTGTCTGGCCACTGCTGTTAGTAAATCCACAGAGAAAGGATGGTTAAAAGGATGGGTTAAAAGTCAAGAACCTAACCATGAGTGATCTCCCAGGATTAGGACTTTATTTGTGAAATGCTTCAGCCACTTCATTACCTGCTCTTGAAATCTCAGAAACCTTGAGATGAATAATAGTGAAAATATGAAACATTATCTGTCATAAAAATGAAAAGTTCTTTGATGAGAGCTTGAAAGGAAGCAATATGGGATGAGATAAACTGGTCAGAGTAAACTGAGTAAACTCAGCAAACTGAGCCAATTAAGTCTTTTCAACTTGCGAGTTATATTGTTTGATTCATAAAGCCAAATAAAGTCACCATATTTTTGGCTTAAAGTGTATAAGTTACCTGTATGCTAGATCTGTGTATGTTTCCCATCAGCCCTTTATCCAGAGAGAGCAAGGAGCAGGTGAGGGTGTGAAGAGGGAAATTTGTGTCTTCCTGCCTGATTAGGCCAGCTGATAAGCGTAAGTAACTGATGCAGTTGTATTGTTTCTAATAATTTGGGTACGTTTGGATAGGTGGCTTTGTGCCATGAAAACCTAACTTGAAGATCATTGTTTACACCTTCACAAATAGATACAAAACACTGATTTTTTTTTTTTTTCTTTTTCTTGTTCTGCTGAGGTAGAAATGACTGGAAGCTGCTAGGTGGTGCCAAGCCAGGCTATTCACTCTTAGCATCTACTTCTGCAACAGTGAAGTTTGTTCCAGTTTGCCTTGAAGTTTCGTCTTTGAGAAACAAGGCTGGATCTTCATCTTTTAAGAAGAGTTTCCCAGGCGGTTGTACGTGATTTGGGGGAATATAGAGTGAAATTTGCCTAAAACCAAGAGTAAAGAAGCGTGAGATTCTGAGTGCCTAAATTCAAACCTGTGGCCCTTAAAACATATGACTTTCAGAAGGGGTAAAAATAGGTCCCCCCTGCCAGGATTTTACTGTTGACGAGCCCTGCAGAGTGATGGCCTCACTGGCTCGTGTTGTGAGGCACCAACTTGGGGATTCACCAGCTGTCTGATCACTTCTTGATGCCATTCAGAGGCCATTCAACAGAAATACGTAGCTATCAGTACCCCCTGTCTATGCCGCCTGAGCACTGTAGCCTGCTCTTGCTACTTGTTCTTTGGGAGCTCCTGTGTGGCTTTCATTTTAAAATGAAGGTGAGTTTCAGCTCTCTCTTTAAAACAATGTTTTGGGTTTTGACTGTGGAAAAACGTTGAACAACCAGAAGGGAAATAAAATGAATGGTAGAGGCCAGAAGGTAAATCTCTGGCCGTCTGGTAAGTGAGCTGGGGGCAAAGTAAGAGCGTAGCTTTCACGATTTAATAGTGGTTGAGATTGATAGTGTTGTGTAAGCTTGTGCAGTTAGTCTTCTTCACATGAAATAGTAAAAGATGACAGATCGCTTTTAGAGGTGCAGTTTTGGTTTTGAGTTTAACTGCTGTAACTTTATCTCCTCCTAAGGTAGAACATACCACTCCCAGGCTCTGTGGTCCACAAAGGAATTCAAAGTGACTAGCTCAAACCTAGACATCTTACTTTTAGGCATCCAAAGTTCAGTGAGAAAAACACCATTCTTTATGACCTTTTTTAGATTTTTTTGATCTTGCCCTTCTGATACTTTCCATTTTCCTTGCCATGTGTCAGCAAGGAGCCAAACAAGTAAACAGAAATGCTGGGTTATACCTGAAGTCAGCACAGCTTGCCTACCTAGGACATTAGGCTATGCCCCTTTTTGTTTTTGAGGGTCATGCAAGAGGCTGATTTCCCATCAGTCCCTTTTTCAGATGAATATTTTATCCGAACAAACTGAACTGTACTAGAATGACATCTGAGGGCAGGAAGAAGCTCCAGAAGTGTTATGTTGTTCAGGCACTCTCTAACCCACCTGTAATGGTATGTCTCAGCCTAAGGATGTCTCCATGGGCTTTTCAGGAGACTGTCTGGGGGAAGGCTGGTTGCAATGAGCCACGGATGTACCAGGAGGTGTCCTGCCCATCAAGAGGTATGGATAAACAGGATGTGTTTTGTGTTCTGTGCATATTTTATTTGCTACTATATACAGAGCCTTTGTGAAATAGGCAATATAACACAGAAGAGGGTGAACTTTAGCTGCTTTTTATGCATAGATGATCTCGCTCTAAGCCTTCCATCTGCAGAGATTTAACTGACTTCAGGAGAACAGTGCTTCTATCTAGCCATGCAGGGAACATCTTCAAGCTTCGGCCATTATTCTGCAAGTTTTGGCTGCTGCTTAACTTCTGACGTTCTTCCTTACAGCAGAGTTTGAACCATGGAGTATGTTACTGACAAAATACACACATGGGTGCAATAGGCCTTGATTTAAACTGTAATTATGACAGCCTTTCAGTACCTTATGTTTCTTGCTAGAATCTGAGCTGAGGATCTGTCCACCAGGATGTTGCAAGCAACAAGGCAAAGCACTGCAACACACCAAGAAAGTCTGAAAAAGTTAGATCATAGAGATCACGGACTTTCTTTTCCTTTTTTTTTTTTTTTTTGGAAGCGAGGGGAGGCTGGAATTAACAGTGTAAAATCTTAATGAGTAGATTGTGCTGAGCAGTGTGGTTCACCTCCCTTATTCTCCCAGTCTCAAATGTTTGCTAGCCTATCAGAGCATTCCTTAAAACCAAAGATTTATAATGAAAAGTCAGCCCTAATTGAATTTCTTTATTAAGAACACCATCAAACAGATACAGAACACCTTACACCACCTTGTTTAAATTAGATTCATTTTTCTGATTAATTATTAAAAGGAAAGTTTAAAAAATCATAAAATCTTAAGTGCTATTAAAAATTGATTAGGAATGCATTTTTTCATTGACCCAGTTTGTATTTTTTTTATTTTTTATTTTTTTTTTTGTCAAAGCTAATACATTTGAGTAGCTGCCTCAGACAGAAGTTTGTAATCATTTGGTCATCAGTCAATTAATCACAGCTTCATAAATATTGATCTCAAATTACATTTATTCTTCATTCTTGAAAGATAGTTTTTTATTAATTTAGGCTCACTCACATACATTGTGGTTTACACTGAAATTATTTTTAAAAGTTCTATTAAAATTTAATTTGAGCAGCAGCCAACAGTGCAGTCACTGCACGTTGTGCCACCTTTCGGCAGGTTTATCACCTCCTTCTGGAAGGTCCTGAATACCCACAGCTCGTACCGTAGGGCTTGCTGACTGGCATCTGTCACCTATAAAACCTCTTTAGCTGGAAGTTGCAGGCCACTTTGTGCCAGGCAGAAGGAGTAATTTGAGAGTAAGTGTGGATTTTTCTGAGGGGAGAAAAGGGCTCTGGTGTTTCCTGTCCCACCCTCAGTGTCTGTGTCCTGATTCCTGGTAGTCTGTCGCAGATGGTGGTGCCTTCCTGATGGCCGTACAGAGCTCTGGCTGCTCTTTGGCCTTTCCCAAGCGTCAGAGAAGCTGTGTGAAGGGATGTGTTTGTGGATGCACATGTTGAATGTCCCCAGCCCTGCTGCAGTCCCTGTCATGGAGGATGGTGAGGATACCTGGGAGTGCTCTTGCAGGGCCTGCTACAGCATCTCTTATGCCTGGGAGTAAACCCAATGCTTTTGCAAGAGTTGTATTTGTAAACAAACTCTAAGGATTTTTGAAGAGAGATGCTGTAAGGAAAGGTCTGGCCTCTTTGGTCTCAGGCATCTGGAGAGGCCACAGTCTTCCTCATAGCATATACACCACACCTGAAGCAGTACTGAAGCAATGCAAGGGTTTTTTATTAACATTCTTGGTTCAATTGCAGCTAATAATCTTGACAATTAAATATCTTCTTTTTTTTTTCTCGTTTATGCTTGCTGCTGTAGTTTAAGAAATACAGATGTGGATTCATCCTGACTCTTCAGCTGTGTGCTTTTACCCCAGGCCAGGAAGATCTGAATAGCAGACTTGCTACAGCTTCTGCAGTACATTTGGGTTCTCTGTCCTATTCTCTGGTAAAAAAGCATGTTAAAATAAGTCACTGTTCTTTAAAATCTCCCTTGAGTGAGGACTTTGGAGTAATGGGATCATGTAGCAACTGTTATCTTTTACATCTCTGAAGAATCCCATGCCTCAGCTTTAATGTCTGAAATCAGAACTGGTTGCCCATTGTGGTCGCTCCAAAACTTTTTATTCTGACACAGCTCTTCTGAGGGGCTCTGAAATACAGCTTCACATCATGGGCAACAGAGCATCCTGGTGTGTTCCTCAGCATCCGTATGAAGTCATGCAAACCCCTGCCAGCGTTCCTTATTTTTGCTGACATTGGATGTGTGTAATATGGAGGATAGATCTTTTTTGTGACTATCCATTTATCTAAGATTGAAAAAAAAAGATTTCATTTTCAGAGTCCTATTCCCCAGTTAATGTATACTACTCACTTACCATATGTTCCGCTGAAATGTAACATCTTCGTATACATTTCGCATATCTACAGCACTAATTTTTCCTGTAAAAAATGAAAAGACACTAGAGCAAGTTCTCAGACCCCTTCCTTTAAATCTGTCATGCACAGTACTTTTCTGCCCTTTTAGGAAGTCATCCTGTAAGGATTGTGTCAGAGACTACGTGTGCAGAGGGCATACAAATAACCCATTTGTTCTACAAATAGCTGTGATGATTTAAGATCTTTCCACCTCTGAGATGTTTGCTACCTTGTTCTTGTCTGTTTGCTGCAAAGTCAAACTAATTTTTAGCTTTCGTTGTCCATAGGCTGTCAAGGTGCTGGAAATAATTTGTTTGGTTTGCATTGTGGCAAATCAAAAAGGATGTTGTCTGCTACAGGGACAGTTGTTTCCAGCAGAGAAGTGTTAGCAAGCGTACGTAAAGGGGGATGTGTTAAGTTACTCCGGTTACATCCTTAAAAAGATACCTGTCTGTTCTCTGTATGTTGTATGATCAGAAGTGGATTCAGAGTCCAGTTGCAGCTGACATCTTCAAACAGGAGGGATGCTGAGGAGATCTAGTAAATACACCACCCTCTGAGCATTTCTTTGCAATAGTGTGGCAATGGGAACCAGCTGTCTGTTTATCCAGTGATTTGACAGGTGCTAGTGTGAATGTGAGCAGTGTGTTTTGTACCGAGCTTGGTAATCCTGGACAGTCTTTCCTGGCAGAAAAGAAGAAAAAGAAAAGCTGCAAAGCAGTAGAGAGAGATGACTGTAACAGTGCCTCAGCTCTTCCTGGCTTTTTGCGGCAGACACCTGCAAAATGGCCCAATTGGAGTTTTCCCACTGGAGTATTGTGTCACTAACTCGCTGCTCAACAACTTCAGCACTTCTGAGAATGAATCTGGTAGCTGAATATGAGCTACTAGTTTATGGAAATGAATCTTTCTTTCTTTTTTTTTTTTTTTTAAATTTAAATTCAGCCTCTCCCTAAACATGCAGAGTTCTTTTAGTTCAGAATATGCAAAGCTGTGTATTTTGATGAAATTGTGTCAATTTCATAATGATGTAAGAGAAAAATAATGTCTTTCCTGTGAGCATATGCAGTAGATACTTCTGTCTTTCTAAATTTTGCATTAATTGCATTAAAAGTTGAGTTGACTTAATAAGTTCAGCTGATCTTTGAAAGGCTTTCTAATGGATTTCTTGTTAAAAATGTGAAAAAGTGTTGTTTTGCATTTTGTTAATATATGTTATAGAATCATAGAATGTTAGGGGTTGGAAGGGACCTCTGGAGATCATCTAGTCCAACTCCCCTGACAGAGCAGGATCACCTAAAGCAGGTTACACAGGACAGCATCCAGGTGGGTTTTGAATGTCTCCAAGGATGGAGACTCCACAACCTCTCTGGGCAGCCTGTTCCAATGCTCTGCCACCCTCAAAGTAAACAAGTTCATCCTCATGTTTAGGTGGAACCTCCTATGTTCAAGTTTGTGCCCGTTACCTCTTGTTGTGTCACTGGACACCAATGAAAAAAGACTGGCCCCATCCTCCTGACAACCACCCTTTATTTATAAGCATTGATAAGATCCCCCCCTCGTTCTTCTCTTCTCTTCTCTAGGCTAGGTTCTCCAGACCCAAGTCCCTCAGTTTCTCTTCACAAGAGAGATGTTCTCATCCCCTACTCATCTTTGTAGCCCTTTGTTTTACCCTCTCCAGTAGCTCCCTGTCCTTCTTGAATCAGGGAGCCCAGAACTGGACATAGGACTCCAGTTGAGGCCTCACCAGGGCAGAGTAGAC